AATATGATAAACGTGCGGTTATAGGCCATTTCCATGGTATTTCATCCTCAGGACACTTGGAGGAGCTTCGAATATTGTATGTACATCGTAATCATATGAATGATGCCTGGCGGACTGAGACGCAGACGGAGGATCAGCATATGATCACGTGACTTCATTGTTTGGTACCGTTTTGATTACCGACAATTTCAGAACCCCAGAGACCCAAATTAGAGATTTTGAATTTTACAAACTCCATCCTTTCCAAACTAGCCGTCCAAATAGTCTTTCTCTGAAAACTATTGGATCTCCAACCATGGTTTCTCCCGAGTCCGTCACCTCATGGAGGGCATGTGGTCTTTCAAACTCTTTGTTTTCCAGAACGCCACGGACCATTCGATGAGCCCGCGCAAACTTTAGACCCATACTGGCACCCTCAGTGGCGTCCCAACTCCCAGTCCTTCTCCACCACGCCTGTACGAGGCGAGTGGGGAAAGGAAAAATCATTGGGGTTCCTGGCCATCTTTGGAAAGCCCATCTGCCGTCGTCCAACTCCGACCACCCCATCCCATCGGAGACCAGACCAGCCGCACGGGTCACGTGAACGGCCACTTCATCCGCAATGCCGACAATGTATGCAGTAATTTGTGCTACCACATGTACTACTCGACAAACTGAGATGTCATATGCACGGGGCGACGGATCTTGCATGGTGCAGGCAGACCCGACCAATGAGGTCGAGCTGTCAGGAGCGGAGTATGGTTCCTTGATCAGCGTCGGACCACGCTGGAGGGTTTTACATACCATGCATGGGTGGTAATGTCGGATGCCGCAATCAAGGGATCTGGCAGTGGCTTTTGTTTTATTTTTATGTTTGAATCTAGGGATATGTCGAATTATTGGCGGTTGGTCGAGATGATGACACCTAACGTTTTCTCTATTAGAAAAAAAGAAATAAAGAGAAAAAAGGAGAAATGAAATGACAAACTTCCTTGGGACCGAGTACCAGGTCTGGAAAATAACCACACAACATGCATGATGACGGAAGACGGCGTTCGCCTGCCGTAGATGACGGGGTGGGGCTCATGGAGCTTCCTTGTCCTTGGGTCATCCCCAAGACGAAACAACTGTGGGCTGGTTTCCTGTCATCCGTCTGTCATCCATCTCGATCTTTGAGTTTTCTTCAATCATTATTATTATATTAATTATTATGTGGTCACTTGTGACGATTCTTCTCGACTTCGAGGTAGCTTCTACGCAAACCTTATCATGATCGGAACCCAAGCATCTTCTGAGCGATCGATTATGATCACAGCCTGAGACAGAAACATTGAACCTCTTGAACTGTTCCCTGATCCATCACCTTGCAGCGGGAGAAAAGCGGGTCTCGTGGTTTCTGCTGACCTAGTATCTGTCAGGGTTTGTATACCCGCACGGCCCCTACGTTCTCATCCCGTAATTTCACAGAAATACAAGGTATTTCGCGCTAGGCCGCTGGTACTATACATTGATACCTCGTCAGGCAACAAGTATCTTTTTTTCAAGGCTTAGCAGATTACACCCCAATACCATTAAATACCAGCGATTCGATACCGCTGTGGCAGGACAAACTATGGTTCGAGTTATCAGCCACCTAGCGGCGAGCGGTTACTCTCCGCGTTCTTTTGACACCAGCAAGGGTCATTTTAATGATAGTTGGACTGTTCCCTTTATTGTTCACTTATGTTGTCTCATCCTTTATTTATTTCTTTATTCATTCATTTATTCTTAATACTCGGATCCCACCCTCCCCAAAACACTACCATGGATGCAGTAGACTGCGAATACGAACAAGTAGGTACCACGCGGTTGAAAACTAACCAATGCAACGGATTATTCAGGATGACAAATTCCGAGTACCTCTCCCCTCCCTCCCCTTTCGGCCGGGCGCCCTCCTAAGCCCCCTTGGGTTTAGACATGGCAACTGGACTGTTCCTCAGGCCAGAAAGAGCTGCTTCCTTACTCCTGCGGCGCTGTGCTGTGCTATTGCACATGCATCCATGATTCCATACATGCAGCCCCCATTGCCTCCCACTGCCGTGGCGGTATACCCAGTTTGGTCGTCCTCCAGTTTCACGTTGCAGGGGTGTGTGGTTAGATTAGGTATGTGGTGTTACCCAAAAGGCCGTTCCCACTCGGCGGTTGCCTTTTCAATCCATCTGGTCCTATTTGCTAGTAGCTACTCAGTTCCTTCCTAAGTAGGTAGTAAGTACCTTCCTCGATCGTTGTGCATTCCGGGGAAGGGGGCAAACGGGAGTGAGGGAAGCCTTTTCCGCGAGTTTTTTGACTCAGGCACACCCCACTTTGCGGATTTTTGAAAGCAGCAGCTTTCTTTGACTCCTCCTTTATTTTTTTTCTTCTTTTTCTTCTTCTTCTTCGTTGTGCGGGTGTGAGGGTGGCTTGACGAGTAATGCGTTATCCAGAATCAGCGACAGGTGGATAGAAAAGGGTAAGTAGGATTGGTATCCGCCACCCAGGACTAGCCACATACTACTCTAAACCCAAGATGCCCTGCCCCCCCCTTATAAGAGTGAGCGATTTATTACCACATGCCGAGTGTGAACTCATGGCTGGGTGTAACAGTACCTTATCGATAAAATCGACTTAGCTACCTGCGGGTGTTCCCATCAATCCTTCGCCCCCCCTACCTTCTCTGAGGCAGTCCAGTCCGTGCGGGTTCAATTACGGTACGTATATGGTAGTAGTACCATGTATAGTATATCTGGCCCGATGTTTCGAAATCCTGCCACTCGTATTAGTCAATTGATATCGCTGGGTTTCAGCGGCGTTTTGCCTCGGAGCGTGTCTTAGTGCGAGCCCCTCTTGGACTACTAGGTTAGTCGGCTTATCTTAGTGAGAACTAAGATGTGGGCTGGTTAGTTAGGCATCGTCGAAACTCAAACATTACGCTATGCTACTTCGTCTTCGTGTTCGTGGCCTCAGCAATTTCAGGGTTTAGGTTCCTACTATTGAGACTAGTTGTTGGATAGGAAGGGTGTAATATTCGGTTGGGTTCTCTGAACGTGCGTCGACATTGGATAGTAGAGAATAGACTAGGATATTGCTTTGGAAGTGGTATTACATAAATAAATTAATCAATTTATGAATTGATAAATTAAGTAAATTCAATTTATCAACAAGGAGTTGTGTAAATATGGTTAGTTATGACAGGCATCAAGATGACAGCCAAGACATGATGGTTCATGACTTGTTAGGATCATCAGGCTGCTAAAGTGTCCCACTGCCAGTTATGCCTAGCACAGCACAGCATGATTTGATTAAAACACAGCCATCCAGCCAGCCAGGCCGACAGGAAGAGGAGGCTGATTGGCAGTGTCACTGCCTAGTTAACTTCTATCAATGACACCCAGGCGCAGAGGGATTTTCCAATCATCTACTCCATAGCCGGAGCCACTCCTAGGTCCAAGACAGGTGGCCATGCCTGTTCTGTTCTCGCGGGCCCAAGCTGGGAAAATCATCACCCTCCCCGATCCCTTGGCACCATCTGTCAAGCCAACCTTAAGAGGGAGGACCGGGCGATGGACGGAGGCCTCGGAGGAGGAATGGCTCGGGGGGAGGGAGGATCATGGTGGGTAAATGCGATTTCTTGCCAAATCAGAAAAGTTTATTTCCTCTTTGACATGGTAGTTTTTCATTTATTTTGAATTTCCTTTTTATTCTACTCTTGTTATTTTTGTTATTTTTTTTTTTTTTTTTGGACTTTCAATTGTTGTATTTGTTTTCTTTGGTTCATAAATTTTTGTCTCGCAGGGGAGGACGTCGAACCCCCACCTCACACTTTCTTCTAGCCCCTCCGCTGTCACAGCCTTGGTAATGGGATAATAGGTACTAGGTAATAATCATCACCACTAGGTAAGGTAGGCATTAACATAACAACCATCACAATAACAGTACTCCGTACATGACAACACACTATCTTCAGCACAATGCAACAATAATAGTCAACATCTGTATATACATAAACAATAGCAACAACGTCCATCAAAACGGAAATTCCCAAGGAGAACAATCAACCAGATTCGGAGTGGCAGACTCGGCGGTCCTCCGTACCTAGTTTGTGGCTACTGGATCCACACCCACCCACGATCGTCGGGTTCTGGGAAACCACATCTCCCCCCCTGTTCTCTCCATGGGCGCCGCCTTGGCCTTTTGGGTCAACCGACTTGGGGAGATGGCTGCTAACTCCTTTTCCTCGGCGCTGATTCAATGTGTATTCTTCAGTTTTCTATGTTTTCTTCTTTTTTGCTATTTTCTATTCCATGATCTGCTTTGTTGTTTTGTTTTCATATAGCTGTCTTTTTGATCTTTACACTAGAAACCATAGTTGGTCAAAATGAAGATCATTCAATGACATTCATTTAAATCTTCTCAAATCAGACTATTATTGTTTTTCTGGACAGAGAAAATACATATTAAATTAGTAAATAAATGAAATGTAATGTTAATTGTGGTTCCCTTTTTGGTGGTTTCGCCCCAAGAAAGGGCAGGGTCAGAAGGGAAAATTACACAATACCGAACAAGCATGATTAATGACAAGGTTGAAAATTAAAAGGGCGATCATCGGGAAAATAAAACAAATAAACCGCAGAAATGGAAAAGGTAAGGAAAGAAAAGGAAAGATGAAGGGGAAAGTGAAAATTATTGTAATCAGGAAATAGAATAAAAATAAAATAAAATCAGAAAAGAAAAAGAAAAAGAAAAAGGAAGAAAAAGAAAGGTAAGGAAAATGAATTAAATAAATCAAACTCAAAGGTAAAAGAAAAAGAAAAGGAAAAGAATTAATTGTCTGAACCCCGAACCTAGGAAGAGAAAGAGATCTTGGTCCACCCAGCCCAGATCCAATTGTTGAGCTGCCTTCCTCCTTACTTTGCATAACCTTGGTTCAGCTGGTCCATCGTCATCGTGTGCGGCAATGTCACTGTCCTTTTTAGTAGATTTGTCGCCCATTTCTCTCCCTCGATCTTCATTCGGGATCTTGACGACTACCTTCTCCATCCAACCTTAACTATTCCTCTTAGATTTAAATGATTGACTTGACTGGATTCTCTCCTTCTTCACTCTCCCCTCTATCCTCTCTTTGTTAATTCTCTACTCTTTTTTTTTTCCATCTTTCTCGTCTCCTACTTCTTTAATACTCGGTCTCCCCCATTTCTATATACTCCTCCATTAATTGCTCTCTTTCCTGCTTTCCGTCCCCACCTGATCCTTCGCATTGTCTTTACCTCCCCCCTCGCGAACTATATAATACCGCCGCCATCGTCATCCTGGATTTCCCACTAAACGATTCTCCATGGTTACACCACACAACCGCCATTGACGAGATCACCTTTCAATTTCGACTGACAGTTGCGTGGGAACCGCCGGCCGGTTGTACTGCGTTGTTCCAATCGCCGATCCAGGTCGCATCTCTGCCTCTCGATTTGCAAACGTAGAGAAGGATAGCCTTTTTGTCTTCTTTCCTGCGTGTTACGTTCTTCGCTCGGCGCAGGACTTTTGTCTATGTCCCAGTACCGTGACCTGGGCGAGGGGAACGGAAAAATGGCCATTTCATATGCGAGCGGGATCCCCGCCGATCACAGCCAGGCCCTTCCCTCCTTTCGGGAGGTAAGTGCGGGCGCTCCAATTGCCAGTTGTTGCCTGAATTCGCGGAAGACTGACCTTTTCCGCAGCTGCTCCCTCCTCACCTCCACGACGAAATTGAGTCGACCTCCTACTTCACCTCCCGCCAACCGCCGCGCGAGCGCCCCGCTTCAGCCAGCCACGATGTCTCCGGTCCCCATCCGATGACCGATCCCCGCCCCTACGGCCCAACTTCCAAGATGCCCATGGGAGAAGTTCAGGCGCCCCGTGATTACTCGGTGGCCCCCCCAACCAGAAGTCACGGGGCGGTGCAATCCCGAGTGCACGGAAATGCGCCCGCACCCGCGCCCACACCCCCCGCCACCTCGACGCCCCGGTTCGCTTCTCGAGGCCCGAGCCCCATCCTGCCCCCGATCCGGGACCTTCAGTCAATCTCTGATCGGGGCGCCATCACGCCGACTGCGCCGTTCCCCGATGTACGACCGGTCTCGCGACCCGACTCGTACTCCGCGCAGGACTATCGGGCTGGTCCCGCCCCCATCCACGGTTACGCGGGGTCCATGGGGGACAGGCGGAGTACGGATGCGTACATGGCAAACGGCGGACCGCCGGTGATGCATGGGCAGATGGCATACCCGTACCCGCCCATGTCCTACCAGAGCGACTCGGAGCAGTCGGCTCAGGCCTTGTCGCAAGCCCATCACTCGAACTTTGGCATCCTCGGCGACCCGATCGACTCCAAAAACAAACGCCGACGGGGGAACCTGCCCAAGCCCGTCACGGACATCCTGCGGGCCTGGTTCCATGAACACCTGGACCATCCGTACCCCAGCGAGGAGGACAAGCAGATGTTCATGACGCGTACCGGACTTACAATCAGTCAGGTTGGTTTTCTCTTTTTCGCATACATAGAAAGGTCTCATACTGACATTAAATAGATTAGCAACTGGTTCATCAATGCTAGACGACGCCAGCTGCCGGCGCTGCGCAACCAGATGCGCAACGGGGCCAGTGATTTTGATTCGCAGCGGCAGTCACCATTCAGCGACGTCGACCACAACTCCCCCGAATCGATGCCGTCGCCCCATCGGATGGGGCCCAATCCTTAGATTTTTCCATCCCATGAACAACGCACATCACGAGTTGACGGGACCTCATATCGGATCGAGACGTTTTTGCGTTTTCTCGGATGCCACCAGTCGAGTGCAATCGACCAAGATCATTTTGATACCCTTCTCGCTTCTAATCGAATTTTACCGGCCTTGCATAGGATACACGATCTAGAGACGTCCCGTTCAGCAAGGGATTTCATAGAACAACCCTCTCCCACCCACAGTGGCTTTGGCAGCCTACAGAGAGAGAATACTTGCATTTGTGGTGTTTTTTGGTCACGTGGTGTTTATTTTTCATCTTATAGCCGTCGGTCTGGCGCTCATCGCATTTGATTTCTTCTTTGCTTTTTTTTAATTTCCTTTGTCAATCTCCTTTGTTATACTCTCTTGGGCACCAACAGGTTTGTTTACCAGGAAATTGAGCATCTCGATGAGTGTATAGTATACTAAGTATGGATGATGTGATCATGTCAAGCTAGATTTCTTTTCCTTTTTGGTTTCTCTCTTATTTTGGTCTGGTTTAAATAGAATGGCAATCAGGAATTCCTTCATTTTGACTTTCTGCAAATTCATTCAACTAGTCAATTAGGTTTGTAAAGAGAATAGGAAAGAAACGAACGACAGAAGCAAGAGAAAACACTAAAACAAGGCAAACATGGTTTCGGACACTTTCCTGCCTGCCAAGTTGGGAGAATCCATGGAACCGGCTGCCTGGTCCTGAACTAACCTTAGTTGTGGCTGTCATTTTATTTTTTATTTTCATTTTTTATTTTCGTGAATTTTCAATTTCTTTCTGTCTACGTCTTCCCTTCGACCGTTTTATCCTTTGACAAGACATTCTAAGGATCGTGTATGTGTATAATACATTTATGCGTATATCTCTCGCACATTATACATACAACCCAGTATGTAGTCAGTCACCCCTAACCTCTCGTATCTACCACACACATGACAAGCCTAAGCAAGTCAAGTCAGTCAAGTAGGTACCTTGGTAGTACCACCGCATTAAACGAAATAGGCAAGTGGCCTCTTGTAGTCAGAAACAGCCTAGCAGGCTATGCTCAGACGCTGTCATCCAGTGACACTAGGCTTAGTTAGTGGTAGTGGGGAAGGGGCAAGAAGAGGCGGGGACAGGATGAACGTCTACGGAGCCGGTGAGTGTTTGTTGGCTAATTGTGGGGGCATGGAGGGAGGTGCTGTTGGGTGTCAGACAGAGGTAAACTACCTTAGGACAGGACTGGTGATCGCCGGGTGGGTTAGCACGTCATTTTCTTTCTTATATTTTTTTTTTGTTTTTGCATTTGGGCTGTTGTTTTTGCTGTTGTGTATTTTGGAGGGTGGTATGGAGTGGAATTGTTTTTATTGGGTATATCCTTATTACTCATTATTTTGATAGTTATCTTCGTTGTTTATAGGATTTGGTTGAATTCGAGATGTTAGTTAGATTGCCCAGTGCTAACAAGGAAAGTATACACCGAAGGGATAGTACCATCTCAATCCACTCATGAATCCACTTTCCCTTCAGAATAGGCGTATAGTAAGTACCTACCTAGTAGTATTCACTATTTGGTGACTGAACAGTAGGTAAGAAAGAGTACCGCGATCAGATCTCTCCCCCCTGCTGACACTAACCACTCCCGTCGTAGTACCTGACTACTACCTGGAAGAACTCCCATGATGATACCCTAGGTGCTCCGGCACTCCGTGTTAATCGGCACAATCTTATCGGAGAAAGTACCCTTCCAGTAATCATTGGCTGATCTGCATCCACTTCCACGTATCAATACATGACAGGACATGACATGACATGACATGACATAGCGTATCATGACTTGCCTACCCACTTTTAAATATGTATGTGCTACATATGGTCTTATGCCCAACGGGCCGCATCTGCATACCAGATTATATATTATTGTCGAATATTATATTATTATATTTAGGAAATAATAATCAAATCACTGACAGTCGTGGCATCCGATCTATCCATGCACGGGAGACCCTCAAATAGGAAGAGCACCTTCGATCCCTCCGATCTATCTGTCACATGGCGGTGATCGTCTTAGTCTACAGGGTTTGATTTAAACCTGACTGACTGACTGATTGAATTGACATGAGTTGACTGTTCTCGGACCCGAAGATCGACGACTAGCTTGTGGCTTAGGCTTGGGCTTGGACGAATTCTTGGGATGTCACCCGTTGACGTGAGGGGGCCGTTCATCGGGGTTTGGTCAGATCGGTAGAGCCCGAGGATCCACGTACCTCCCACTTTGCTTGTCTGTCTTTGGCCTGCTGCTACTAACCATTGACTAATGACGTGGTATTCTAATCTGCTTTTAGAACTTTTTTTATCACTTTTTCTGTTTATTCTTGAAGTGTTAGGTGGCGTCCCCGCTTTGGCAGATCGATCGATCGAGACGTTTTTGGTCTGAGATCTGGCTAGGCAAAGCATGACTTCATTGGCACTGCACTACATACCTACCCAGGACTCTCCTAGGTTGAGGATCATAGATTGGGCACCAGGCTGCTGCAGTCCAATGCCTCGTATTTCGTTTCGACATCAACAAAGTACCTACCTACCTATCTATCTACCTACCCACCTCCCTTCCCTCTACCCACCCACCTAAGGAGGTACCCCCTGTCAACAGTGAGAGCTACCAACCTAGACAATGGTATGCCGAGAAGATACTATTTCTTGTGGCTTTTAATATCCGGGAAACGGTTTGCCCATCTGCACCCCACCGGCGATCTCCCTCGGGTTGGGTCGATCTGTGTGGTATTATAAGCTAGGTATTATTATCGATTACTGGCGTCTTAAGGGATCTCTGATCAGATCTGACAGTGGTGATCTATTTCCCTCATCATCGTAATATTTTAATTCTTTGCCCTCCCTTCCCCCTGTCAGCCTGATACTCGAATGGAAGCCGTGTAGCATTACCGACATGCAATAATTCCACCCCTTGTTACTGGCTAGCGCGGGAGACGCTCCTGAGCCACCACCTACCTACATACATACATACCCCGACATGTAGGGAGGAAGAGCAGTGGAAAGAGATCCAAGATGGTGCAGTCGATCCGTGCGCCCCTTGGTGTGGCTCACTGCCCACTTAGGACCAACCTGCAAGGCGTCATCTCATGTATTTGATCCCCGAGTGCATGTACGGTCGATCAGTCAGTCAGTCAAGTCGCCACCCACACTCAAAACTCTCATACACCCGCTGCGCCTTTCTGCCTAATCGCAGCCCCACGTCTCCCTAACGTGCCTTACTTGGCCTGCATCGATTTTGGGTGTCCGTGCCCTGGTCCTTGGGTCGGACGGACGGGTGGGAATGGGATACGGTGACAATTTCCGCTTGCGAGCCGCTACCCGCGGCTGCCTTGCTTGATTCTCGTCTTTTGTTTCTGGCCTCTGTCGAGGGCTTTTTGGAGGATGTGTCCCGGTGGAGTAGGTGGGTGTTGATTATTGATGTATCTGTGTCTGTGTCTGTCTGCGAGGGATCGCTGGAATGCTGTCGAGCTGTTTCCGGTGGTTTGGGTTGGTCTGTCTGTTTATCGAGGATCGATTCTGTGGTCTAATTCTAGAATGGTCCTTGCTTGCCCGGTACGTTTCTATGTGAGGCGGTAGGTCGTTCCTCAGAAGCAATATCTTGATGTGTATCCACTAATGTTGATACTATGTGGCCTTTACATCCCGCTACCCTGTACTCTTCTCCGTTGGACTTGGCAGAAACGTAATGAAATGCCCTACATCACGCCACCCCAATGCTATAAGCGGAATATCCTATAAGCGTATACCAAGAACCCTATTATACTATGTACGGATATATACAGATCCTACCCAAACAAATACTCCCACCACCCTTTCTTCCACACCCTCCCAAACCGATGATTCACACAAGCTTGGGCACTCCCAAACCCCTCCGCAGAGCTATGTCGCTGCCCATTCCCCCACACACTAACCGGCAACACACACAAACCCCCATGACCGCCGTCTTCACCCTCGGCCTCCCCCTCCCCTTCCCCAATACACAACGGATCCCTCATCTCATGAAACGGAGCCCACGTCACCCGCCGCGAGCCATACCCCCCTTCCTCCTCCGCTAAATCCCCAATCCCCTCATCAGCAGCCACCGACCGCCGTACAAGCCAATGCGTCGGCGCCAGCGTCTGTGACAGCACATCGATAACCGCATCCGTGAAAACCCCAGGCCCCGTAACCTCCAAAATAGTCGGCTCGTCGTAAGACGGCTCCGCGCCCAGCATCCCACCATGTCGCTGCCGATGCTGCCGCGTGTGCGACAGCACCCGCACGATCGCCTCCCGCAGGATCGGGCTGAACCGTCGCGGCGCGAACATCGTGTACTGCCCGAACCCGTAGCTGCGGCTCCAGTGCCAGTCGCGCTTGAGCTGTGCTGACGCGTGCGGTTCGTCGATCTCGACGCCTAGGACCAGCGAGTGTGCTTGTGGGGTGTCGTTCGCGTCGAAGAAGGGGAGGAGCGCTGGGCAGTTGGCGATTGAGCGCGCGGGGAATGCGTCTGTGTCCGCGTAGAAACCCCCGTAGTACCAAAGGAGGAGGTAGCGGAGGAGGTCGGCGCGGAGGACGTGGTGTGGGTAGGATTTGTAGAGGGTTTGGAGCTCGGGGACGGACGCGAAGACGGTGTTGATGAAGGTTTTTGCGTAGAGGGTGGTTACGAGCTGGTTGGCGTGAGTGTTAGGGAAGCGGAGTTGGAGAATGAGAGGAAAGGAAGTAAGGGAAGAGAGTGAGTGCGTACGGAATAGTCCCATTGATCTCGATTCACCTGCTGGAATAGCAGCGAGTCTTGTCCCCGTTTGGATTTTTCCCGTCCCAGATGTATCTGCCAGATATGTCGCTGTGCGGTGTCGTCGCCCTTGCGCACCTGTCGCACGGCGGTCTCGATCGCAACCAGCGCGTCGGAGACATTCTTCTCGAAGCTGAGGTCGGGGTCCGACCGGAAGGACGAGCGATATAGATAACGGGGGGTACTCTCGACGTCGTAGTCGGGCGCCTTTTTGTCCGCGCGATTGTTGTTTGTTGTCGGTGGGGGCGACGGAAGACCGAAGATAAGAAAGTACAGGACGACGCCGGAGATGAGCAATAATAGACGCGGGAGCAGCCGCCTCCGCCGGCGGGGGTACATTATTATTTCTGATGCTTGTTTTTTTTTTCCAGGAGGAATAATGGTTAAAATGCAGGAAAGATTGCGAGGATTCGACGATGGAATGGGCAAAGGCAAGGGCAAGGGGCGGCCGTCAGCCGTCCTGGGGTCCCTGCGACGAACATTTCTTACAGGAAATGAGCGTCGTCCGGGTTGGGTGATCCAGGTGGCCTAATAAGGCTGTTTGAACGAGCTAATTCCTTTCTGAGAGAGCAAAAGAAACATCTGACGTGGATGGACGAGTGGGCGTCAGAGCGGAGGGAAAAGAGTGGGGACAGCTGGGACGGGCGTCGATTTAGGGCTCCTCCGGACATGTAACAGATTTCCCTTTGCAGCCAACCAGGTGATGATCGGCTATTTTTAGATGGCTGTTTTCGAGCATCGATCGCGATCGTTCATCCCAACTGGCCATTTGCTACAGACAAATGGTGCATTAATGATGAAAAGCAGATCTGGTTCATAGGGCTAGAGTTAAGATGTAAATAAAGTTGTCCTTCGATCTAGGCTAAGCCTTTACCAAGACGCGGCCGGTCACGTGTCAGCTCCACTTGCTATCAGATCATATCCATTGATCTGTATATATTGTCAGTTCAAGTATGTGAGGCTGGTTGTAGGGAGAGAGTTTGTAACTATGCGTTGGTGCTTGTCTGGAGTCGTGGTGTTGTAGGAGCTGACTGCGTGTTCACAGCCTCATCCCTTATCGTGAAGCCAAAGATCACTAAGAAATCTAGCTATCGTGCTATATATGCAAGGTTGGAATAGCGCAAGTCGTAGATTGCCGAAAAATTGTGTTGTATCTCTTCGTTTATTTATCAAATTCCGTCTGTTTGACCTAGGAAGAAGATAATGAGCCCAGTTATTTTGAGTACATTGACGTTCATTAGACAAGTATAGTACGAAATCATACACAACCACACTTGTAGTAGTTGTTATATCATGAATTCGAGTTATCAGCACATGACCACGCTGAGGAGCCCGCCGCAGCCTTGCTAGACGCAATAATACTGAGTACGGAACCATACGTCCCAGAAATCATCAAAAAGAACCCTAAAACAATGACTAGGACGCTCCAAACCACCAAAAACCTCCACTTCACCGTCGGTTGCTCTCTGCCGCTGGCCCAGTTGTCATACAACCACATGCACCCCATCGGCTGGAACGACATAAAGGCCCCGAGCAACGCCCCAATCAGAGATACCAGATCGCCAAAGATGGGGATCCCGCTGGCGATGAGGTAGGCGGCTATTGTGGTGGCAAACGTGCAGCTGAGCCATGTCGCCCAGTGTGTGATGGAGTTGGATACGAGATGGTCGGACCCGCGCAGGATGCGGACGAAAATGTATTTACTCGAGAACTGGAAGGTGTTCAAAGTCAGATCCTTCAGCATCGATTCGATTGATCGGTAGGCGGCTTACATGGAGGACGACAATCGAGCTGACGACCAAGCCTGGGAGGGAGATTCCGTAGGCAACTTTTTTGATCAATGGGCCAGCAGATCCGAGGGCGGGAGACGCCACGTATGAGCCGCAGTAGTAGTACATGACGATCCCGACGACAAGGTAGACTGCTGTCACGCCACCCTGGCAGAGTAGAAGGGGTCGATTGTACTGCGAAGGGTCCCGCATTTCGGCGGCGATTGGGAAAAACCCTAAGTAGATAGTTGGCATGTATGCGTCTAGCCGTCGTGTCTTTCGCGTTTGTCCAGCCCACTCAAGAATAACAAACTAGAAAAGAAGAAATAACTCACCTGGAGTTCCGCAGTAGGCGAATACAATCGACGAGACGGCAGAAACCGCTTTATCGAAAGACGGATAACCAACTAACTTGTAGTCCGATACCCAGATGTCCCCGTGGGGAGCTGTCGCCGGTCTGTCTTGTATGCCAACTGCGATAGTGACTATCATCACTGTGTAATAGTAAACATTTTCTGTCCACTTGAGATGTATAGTATAGTATCGCACCAGCAGTAAAAACACATCCTAACCCTATCCAAGCAACCCATTTGATTCCTCCCAATGTGCGAACACTGCCCACAGCGAAGGAGACAATAGCGGCTACTGCCACAAAGACAGCCGTACAGGTTCCATGGGCCGAGACAGCGTTCAGACCGATAGATGTACTCAAGAGGGCCGAGCCCATGCAGAATATCCAAGTCTAGAGTGCTCGAGTCAAAAAGACACAGTTGAACACATGTTTGAATACAAGAGACTCACAAAGACAGACCGCAACACCAAACACTTCCCGACCTACACGACCAAACATCAAGGCCCCCGCATCGTCGATTCCATATACCTCGGGATGCCGTAGCTTGAAAGCACCGACTATGTAGTTAGACCAGGTCGTGATGGCCGCTACCGCACAGATGCATATCACCCCCGGGATCATGCCCAGGGTATCGAGGATTCCCGGCATGGCAAGGACACCAAGCCCGAATTGGGTCTTCATCATCAGAGCTGTGGTTCCAATCCATCCGACCTGTAGATTGTCAGTCGCAAGATTGACTACTGAAGGAAGGGTCCCGGACGTTGCGGTAATTTGGCCCGTGTTCGGTGATCTCGCCGAAGACTGCATCTTGGGTGACGGGCGCCTTGTCGAGAGACTCGAATGACTTGTCGATCGATTTTTTTTGGCCATCGGTTGTGTCTGACATGCTGTGTGAAAAAATCTCAAGGGTTTGGAAATATGGACAGGGTTTGCGATACGAGAGGGGAAGACAGAACTCTTGTATAAGTTAGGGGTATAACCGCAGTCCCTTCTATAGTGCGGGGATAACGACGATTGGAACAACTATGATTCCCACGGAAGATGCCATAGGCGATAGGCCAATCACTTGTTCTCTAAATTGGAAAGGCATCTCTAAACGGTTTCGCGTTACATCAACCGGGTTGGCCCTTACCGCTCGGTACAGCTAAACTCGCGCTTTAGGCAACAGATTCCTTATCTAGGAAGATAGTAGCGCGACTCGACTAGTTTCGCGATACTAGGAAAGGAAATGTGCCACGGGTATATGCGTGGAACATGAGGTATTCAAGTTTTTGGCTAAAAGCTACCCCAGGCCACGTTTGGTAGTGCTCAAGCGGGGTTTGGCATGGGCAAGGGATTGGGACATGATGGAACTCAGGACAGAAAGCATGGTGACTTCCGAATTGCAAGTCAATTTGAATCCATGGGCCCCATCTACATACAACCTCCCCTCAATACGTATCTCGCAATTTACGAGGAGTATTCGACAATAATCCTGGCTAGTAAAAGGCGGGAATTGCGTGATTTTGGCACTAATTCCCTCGAGTCCTTCTAAATATGAGGGCGACCCCTCAAAAGTCTCTATCTTTCCAAGGGCCAAACAACATCAATTTTCGTAGCCAAAACCTTTTCTTGCATGGCAATCACACTCATAACAAACTGGGCAGGTGAATCCGGAGAGCGATAGGCAAGCAAGCAGCGCTTCCTTTGAAGGCTATAGGCCCTGGTTTGCGTCTGTGATACAATATCTCGGTTAGGTGGAGTCGAACGGAACGGTGTGGGGCGCGCTACGGCCACTCCATCCGCCATTTTACCCCGGTGAAACAGGTCGACCATTGCACAAATGATGGCTGCACAGAGGCACATCGTGTGGCGGTTTGTTTTGATGTCATATTGTGCAATATTTTTTGATGAAGGCATTTTATGTTAGATGTGCTGCTTTGACAGGATGGTAAGCATGATTTGAGCAAATGCGCCCCAGACGCTTTACTATTCTCCGGACAGTAATAGGCTGGTGTCTTCCAGGATTAAACCCCAGTCGTGATAGTGGATAGGGATGTTATCGCGAGTTTTTGATAAGCTGGAGAGCACAGTCCCACTCAAACATGGGCCTAAGACAGCTTTCACAAGATATTCAGTTCGCTATTTATCGTTAAGCAGGAACTGGCATATATGAATTCATCGTGGTGGGTATAATGCAAAGACAGTACTTAGATGCCTAGACACAGCAAAAGATTTGTTAGTGACCTTAGTGACTAAGCCTGTCCAGGCAGTGTCTAAATCTGATGCTAGTCTTAATCACAAGTCTATGTTGTCCACCGTTTGCCCTGGGTGAATATAACTTTGGATTGTATATATTGTGGTAAGAATGTATGAAATTGACCAAAACCAAGAGACTGTACTGGTTGTATGGAAAAAAAAGATGACAAACTATATAAAGAATAATACTTTGCAAAGGTGTGCAGCAGCTATACGTGGCCAGCTTACATATTCCATATATATAAATCAATTGCTACTTCCCCTAGTAACGCAGGACATAAGTTGCAAAAAGTCCGACCAAATTCTGTGATGACACCGCTTATCAGAATATGGATCTTTGCCATGTTCAATCGCCCAAGTGACAGCGATTCAATATTGACACCTTTTAGTCAAGCCTACAAATACTTTTGTTTTCAACATCCATCGCATTCTCACATCTAGTCCCGTGATAGGCTATTTATTCGTTTGTAGTGATCCTCCATCCTGACCAGGACACCCATATTCATGTTTAGGTCTCGCTCAAAGTCTCGCTAAGCCTAATGGCAAACGTTCAGTCCCCCGGTATTCGGGTCCGTGCCAGCCATCAGAGACCCGGAGAATCACGAGAATACCACAAACTCCGCCACCCTGCAACCGCCATCGGACGACAGGACCGTAGTGTGGGTGTGATAAGGTGCGCGAAGCTTATCGTGGGCTGGTCAGGGCTCATGGTGGGTGTGCTCAGCAGGCCATGAACGGAGACATGGGTTTCACAATGGTTCTGCCCGAGCGGGGAAACTGGAGACATCGGAGCGCTTGGAATAGCAGGTTGGATCTACTTATGCGTATTTCATGATCGCTTTTGATGTAAGAATGAGAAAGCTATAAAGCGGCAACCACATCCAGACTATCGCAAGTCGTATATCGCTGTACTCTTTTCTTCCAACACAACTTGAGCCCCACATTCCAGCTCGATTATACAATCATGGGTTCATACGTGGACGACGACTTCCTCGACGCGATCATCGTCGGTGGAGGCTTTGGCGGCTGCTACCTCCTCCAAAACCTTCGCAAGTCAGGGTTCCGCGTGAGAGTTTTCGAGGAAGGCCACGGGCTAGGTGGCGTCTGGTGGCATAACCGATACCCCGGCGCCCGCGTCGACAACAACACACCATTCTATGAATTCACCGACCCCGAGTTATGGTCCGAATGGGAGTGGTCCGAAGCCTACCCAGGTCAGAAAGAGATCGTTGAATACTTCAAATTCGTGGATCGAAAGTGGAATCTCAGCCAGGATATCACATTTGGCACCAAAGTGACGGATGCAACGTGGGATGCTGCGCGCAGGCTCTGGACTATCCAGACAGATAAGGGCTATGTCGTCTCCGCTCGCCATCTTCTTCTCTCTATGGGCTTTGCTTCCAAGAAATATATCCCCCACCTCAATGGTCTCGAAACGTTCGAGGGCCTCAAATGCCATACTGCCGATTGGCCAGCCCATCCTGTCGACTGGGCCGGCAAGAGCGTCGCCGTGATGGGAACTGGCGCCACCGGGGTGCAGGTCATCCAGGAGCTGGGCCCGAAGGTCGGAAAACTTGTTGTGCTGCAGCGATCCCCAAACTGCGCACTTCCGATGCGACAAAAAGCCTCCAAAAAACCAGTGGATAAATCAAGATACGCGGAACTGTTCCGAACCATGCGCCTCTCTCAGACAGGGTCAGATAACATGCTAGTCGACCGACGAGCTAAGGACGACACGCACGACCAGCGCATGGAGCTGTACAAAGCACTGTGGGCTCGAGGGGGATTCGCGCCCGTGCAGGCCAACTACTTCGATTTTATGACCGACCTCAACGCCAATCATTTCTTCTATCGATTCTGGCGCGATCAAGTCCGGCAGCGACTCACGCGGGACGATCCAGACTTGATTGAGAATTTGGCGCCTGAGAACCCGCCATATCCGTTTGGTACCAAGCGGCCTTCTCTCGAACAGAATTTCTACGAAGTCTTCAACCAAGATAATGTGGAGCTAGTGCCGCTCAAAAAGACGCCAATTTCGCGGATCGTTCCTAACGGGATAGAACTGGAAAACGGGACCACGATAGAGATCGACGCCCTCATCCTCGCTACCGGATTCGATGCCGTGACGGGCGGTTTCTCGCGGGTCAATATCCGCGGCGTGAAGAACAAGACTCTCAAGGGCGAATGGGCCGATGGAGCGAGAACCTGTCTTGGAATGGCAACTTCGGGCTTCCCCAATTTGTTCTACCAATATGGCCCGCAGAGCCCAACTGCTTTTGCCAGCGGCCCATTAATCTCGGAGATCCAGGCAGACTGGATCATTGCAACTATGATGTATATGCGAGAACATGGGCTTTCGAGGATCGATGCTAAACCTGAGATGGAGGAGGAGTGGGCTTGTATCACGAACGAAGCATGTTATCAGACTTTAATGTCGCACAATGAAACAACGTGGTATATGGGTGGGAATGTCCCAGGGAAGAAGCGAGAAGCGTTGGGCTATATTGGAGGTTTGCCCAAGTATCAGGGTTATTTGAAGGAGTGTGTGGAGAGCAGGTGGTCGAGTTTTGTATTTCAATAGGCTTTATATGCAATATTATGATGAGTTTTGGTTTTCGTGCATCTCTCTTTTCATCCACTGGGAAAAAATCAATTTGCGTCTTGAGCCACGAAACAAATGATACCGTTTACCACGTGTACTTGGATGCCAAAATGTATATCTCCTCTTGTTTCCGGATTCCATGATCCATCATGATACCGACACATGCTAGCAAGAGTACGAAGCAGTATAAAATGCGAAGATATTTACTACCAGCTCTACAAGACTGAACTGCGAATATTCCAATAAGCATCAATGCCACCCCGCGCCCCCAAAACCGGATCCAAATCCGCATCCTTCACCCTCCACACAGCCTCAAACCCAGCAGCGTCGGCTCCCCCTTCCGACCAACCCCAAGTCATCCCCCTCGGATACGCCCCCATCATAGTAAACCCAGACACCTCCAGCTTCCCCACAAACGCCGCGGGATCCTCCGCCTCGATCCGATGCGCATCCCCTCCGGTCAAGCACTGCGCATCGGAAATCAGCGAATTTCGATCATACGACTTATGCGCCACACCCGCCGGAATGACGAACAGATCGCCGGCCTCGACGTCCGTGAAGAGCGCGCCGTCCTCGTAGGCAGTCCCGTAGGTGTGCTTTTCGGGGTCGTCGCCTAGGTCGGCGGTGCCCCAGCGGATTCTGCCCGGGCCGGACAGCACGACCATTACTTCGTGGGTGGCTGGGTGGTAGTGGGATCGCTGGTGGTGGCCGTAGGTGGTTACCCATTGGGCGTCCCAGCCGTTGTGTTGGAAGGTGCTGAATGCGAGGGCTGCGTCGACTTTTCCGTCTCGGATGAAGCAGTTCTTGTAGAGGAGGAGGGGCTTGGGGGAGTTGGGGATTAGGGTTGTGGGTTTGATGGTGTAGGGGATGATTTGGCTTGGCATTTTCGGTCCTTTTGGGTGGATTAAATGATCTGTGGGGTATTGGATGGATCGAGGGAGATGTTACGAACGTCTTAATACATAGTGTATGGGTGTATCGCAGTGATGCTTCCACCTGTGGGGTCATCATCTCCACCCGGGTGATTGAGCCGATGGTGGGTCTAGAGATAGGAAAGTCACTCCGCCATACCAATGTTTGTGATTCGCAGTGCGTGGTCTGTGTGCTTCAATCTTTCCTATCTCAATCTGCGACTACGGAGTCCCTTTCCACATTGATATACATATTCCTTTGAGTAGACTTGGGAAGACACCTGGAGTGTGGCCTGTTTGAACTGCCATGAACAAGGTACGATCTAGCGGTGTTATATGGACTTCAATGTGCCTTTTGAAGGTAAACCACCGTAGATTACAATCAAGCAACATGGAAGATTAAATTATGGGTATGGATTTTCATGGTCATGCGAATGCATGTACGCCGCCGTTCTACGACAACTTTACTGCTGTTTGCCACGTGCATATTTTTCATAAACATGATACTTTTCAGTACCTAGATATCATTCTGATACATTCTAGCAATAACTTCATATACATCTCATCCAAACCGATATACTACACATATACCCCATCCCCCATGCAACAGGATAATTTGATCCTCAAAATCAAGCGCAGATCTTGCTGTCGGCAAGCTTCTTGGTCGGGTACAGCACGGCCGGCGCGCCACCCTTCAAGGGCACCGACACCGATCCGTTGTCACCCGCCTTGACCGGCGAGCAAGAGATGACGTCCGTGAGCTCGGTGCCGGACTCGTAGCCGGTGCCCGTCACCTCGACCGTCACCTCGCCGCCTTCGCCCTTGTTCGTGAGCACGGTGATGATCTGCGAGCCGTCGGCGCCCTTGCGGATGGCGATGGAGGAGTCGTCGGAGAAGATGGCTTTGGTCTGTTTACTGCATTAGATTCTGCTTTTATGCATTCGAAGCTTGGATTGGGATATGGATGGGAACTAAATACCTTGAAGTCGACGTATTTCTCGTCCTGCTTGATGGCCAGGTTGCGGACCTTGTTCGCCGCGGCAATCACCTTGTACAGCTCGCCTTCGGTGTCATAACCACCGGTCCAGGTCGCTTCGCGGTTGGCGGGGTCTTCGCCGCCGGAGAAGTGCTGTTCCTGGCCTGCGTAGATGATGGGGATACCATCGGCCAGGATGGAGTATGCGGCGATGTTCTTGGCCAGAGCGACGTCCTTGGTGTATCTATCTTTGGTTAGCTCTGTGCTAGTTGTGTCGACATACTATAAGTGTATGTATGTGGAAGTAGATGGAGACATACGAAGCAAAGCGAGGGTTGTCGTGGTTGTCGACGAACGAACCCAACAGATTCACGTCCTTGCACTTCTCTTGGACCGTGGTGATCATGTTGGCGAGCTCTGACATGCTGCCGCCGGGGGCTTTGAAAGCGTTGATAAGAGGGTAGTAGCTGATTATTGTCAGTGGCTGTCTCGTCTGGAATCCTTGTGTCTGGGAAGGCCATACATCGGGTAGTTCAACAAGCCGTCCATGACCTCCTGGTACGAGCAGATGTTGTCGACATCGCCGTCCAGGACCTCGCCCACGCAGTAGACGCCCGCGGCCTCGTTGTATCCCTTCCAGAAGTCCTTCTGGACGTGCTTGACGGTGTCGATACGGAGACCGTCGACTGCATTCGTTAGTATGTTTTCCCCACTCTGTCTGTATGTCGCTGTGGGAATGGTTTTGTAGACGTACTCTTGTACTTCTTCACCAGATCTCCAACCCACTTGTACCAGATATTCTTCACCTCCTCGCTCTCAGTGTCCAGGTCCGGCAAGGCGACCTTGTTGTCGCCCAGCCAGCATTGCTCCGACTGCGTCGGGTCGTCGTAGTCCTTGATCGGGCAGTAATCGTGGAAGTACTCTTGCTTGTTGAACGGCGTGAAGATGCTGTAGTCGACGGAGTCACCGGCGCCTTTGTATCCCTATCTCTACTCAGCTTGCTTGTTGGAGAGGCAGTGGGTTGCTTCCGGGGAGACATACCATGTGGTTGGCCACAACGTCGACCATGAGGTACATGCCTCGCTCGTGGAGAGCATCTGACAGTGCAGTCAGGTCTTCCGGCTTGCCGTAATGCTCCTCCAGAGAATTTCTGACTTGATATTAGCTTGAATCGAGGGCGAGCAACATTGGGGGGAAACGGACATGTCCTGCTGCCAGTAGCCGTGGTAGGCGTCACCGTACTCCGTCGTGTCTTTGATTTGAGACGTAACGGGAGTGATCCAGATGGCTGTGAAGCCCATGTCCTGGATGTAGTCCAGCTGTTCTCTCCCTTAGCTGTGTTCTTGAGCCCTAAAGGGAAGCTGTCCGAGTGTAGGTACCTTCTTGATGATTCCCTGCCATGTACCACCACAGTACTTCCTGGCCTCCGTATCGCAAGGCTCCTCGGTCGAGCCATCAGTGCGGGCGAATCGGTCCGTCAGCAGGAAGTAGATGGACTGCGATTTCCATTCCGCGGGGGTTGCTGCCAGGGTCGTGCCCAGGAGCAGAGACCACAAAGAGAGACGCATTGGTGAGGTTATACGGGGGGGGATTTGTGGCGAGGGATGCTTTTTCTTCTGTCTGCAGTGGGGTGTGGGCATGGTTACGGTTCCTGGGAAAGAAGCGTATTTATAATGCCTCCTTAGCAGGAGGAGGTTATTCGACCGATTGGTCCGTCGTCCAGTGAATCCCCGACCCCGGTCTGCCGAGTGTGAAGATCGGCGGATTCTGCGACGGTCGTCCCCTCTAGCGTTACATTCCTTATCCTAGCCAGGGGTAGCGGTCTTCACCATGCAGGGTGTGCGTCCTATCAGCCTAGTTTTACTGTGTGATGTTTATGCAGGAATCCTCTGGCGTTTCCTGCCTGTTGTTTGATTGGGGATGACCCCCGGCCGGCAATTAGGGCACGGCACCGTGGCAGATGCGGGGAAGAATCTCGGGGATTTTCTAGAAGATCGTTATCCCCTTCTTTCACTCAACCCGTTGATTCCACAAGTCTTTCCAGGAGGGTAGTCTAGAATCCTGTCAACAGAATTCATGTCAATCTTCATCAGACCATGACCAGGGCCTAGTGGGGCAACAAATGAGGGGAAACTGGCCTTGGTATCTTTCTCCTCAGACCAGTCAGGAGTCGCAATCGAACGGACTCCGACCGACCCCGCCGGATTCGTGATGCCATTGTCATTCCATCACTCTTCATTCTTCCCCTCGACCATGAATCTGAAACCTTTCCCATCCCTTCTTTCCCAATTCATCCTGTTCCGCACTCTCCTTCATCCTTCGATCTAGGCGCCTAGAATATCACCAGAAGCCACCCCGCCCTCGATTTGATTCCTATCGACATCGCAGTAAAGGGCGCTAAGCACTCGGCGCCCAGCCGAGTCATGTCGCTGCTAAGTAGCCCAAGCGACTAAGGCCCTAACCGTTCTACCCATCTTCCTTCGCTTCAGGGTCGCAGATAGACCAGTCAACACAGCACTCGTCTACCCATGGGCCTAAGACTCACCCCTCTCAATCAAGTCTCCCGTGCATGAATTCCCCGCCACAAAGGACCCCCTCCCTCAGCACCATCCAATCTGACATCACCGTCCAGACTGCCCCCCCTGCAGCTCCTACCCAATCCATTCGCGATCTGATCTCCGGAGGCGGACTGCGCCAGTCCGCCCCAGCCTACGCCACTGACAGAGGGAGGGGCCGGCACAAACGTGAGGGCTTGCTGTGGGTGCTATTACTGGTGCTGTTTAGATTAATTGATTGCATTTCCTTCTAAACTAGCTACAGCCAATCGTTTTGGCACATTCAACGGGCGGATAGACCACTAACTAGGAATGAAGAAATGCCTCGGCAGCGCGAGGCGATTGCATGGTCGATCGTGCAGAACGGTCTTGCCCTATGCTGCGGCGTTTGGGAATGCGACTACGCGCGGAGATTTCTTTTCTTGATGCTTTATATACGGAACGAGCAAATCTCCGAGAGGAAGAGAGAATATCACGCCCTCAATCACGGCGTTGCCTTCGCGGTCCGTCTTAACCACACCTGCGCCCATTGTCTTGTCCAAACTCTTGGATTCAAATGTGTCCCCGCCTATACCTTCAGCCACCACCATTGGTAAGAACACCACTACATGGCTATGTTTCGCCGTGCCCTGGCAGCCCACAAAGCCACCGCCGGCGTTCTATCTCATCAACAGCGCGCTGGACCGCCACCGGGGCAAGTGTATGACGGCGGTCAGCCGTGGTTACTGTACACGCTCGCTGCGGCCCAAATCCTGTATCAGGCTGTCTATTTCTGGGAGCGAGCTGGTTACGGTCATGTGGCGGAGGTTGGTAAGACTCTTCCGGATTCACCGGGGGCTGGATGCTCGTATTTGGAGTCATGGGGCGTACGAGACGGTAGTGAGGCTGGAGCGAGAGTATACGAGTAGGTTTTGTATGGATTGTAGCCAGCCCTATCTTTTCTTTTCCCCCTTCCTTTCGATATGTACAGGCAGGAAGGATAAGAAAAATTAAAGATCCAGCAAATGGATACTCCACCTAACATTGTTTTATGCTATTCCCGCCCTACAATCCCCCATGTAAACAACAACATCATCATCATCAACTCTTACTCCCTCTGCCCTCACCGTTCTCCATAAAACCTCACGCACGAACCTCCCCTCTTAGCTTAGCCGGGGGAATTCCACTTGGAGAGTGCTGGTGTAGATGTAGATCGGTGAGTAATTAGCGTTAGTATGGTCGGTTCCTGCGTTGGATTGGTAGGTAGGATGTGTTGAATTGGGTGAGGTTGGGGTTGGGGTTGGGGAGGGGGGGTTTTTTTTTTTTTTTTGCCTCCTTCTTCTTCGAGTTCTTCTCCTTCTAGTTTTCCCTTCTAGCTTGGTCAATCCTGGACAAGGCTGGGGTTTGGGGTAGTAGTGTTGGTGGTAGAAACTTGGCAGTATGTATTACTTGGACAGAGGTGG